TTGAAAAACAGCTGTTATCTACAAAATGAGTTATATTTTATTCATCAAAATCAATGATAACTTTTGGATTGTGCATTTATAGTGACTAAAATCACAAGTTGCATCACAAGTTTTAATATCATATAAGAAAATAAATTCAGAAAAATGGGACTACGCTGAAATGTTATTCATTAAGAATCTTATTACCTCCACTGGGATTTGTCTAAAGCACGAAATACCATATATTGTGCGTTTTGCATCATTTAAGCTAGGTAAATGAAAGTAAACTGTATCTTCATCGTAATTGTGAGATCCATCTGGTAAAGCAAGAGTTGGCAAATATTTCCAACCTAGCGGACATTCATTTGGAGCCCCTGGCACCAAAGGAGGAAATGAATATTCTACCTAATAAAAAAATATAAATATAAATTTACTATCCACTGTAATAGATTAAATATTTATTGTTCATATATTAATGCTACATTTTTACTGATCAAGAAAATGAATGTTCTCTATCAAACTTGATATTATTGCATTCTTGATGAGTTCTCATAGTTTAAATATGTTATAGATGATATTTATATATATTTATTTATTTATCAATCGTAGCCATCAATTATAAGATACGGACAACTATAATCTTTAAACATGACATTTTGAGATTAAACGAAATAATGGTAGCGGCTTACTTGACATCCTTTTTTGTGATGAAATCCAACGACAATCACATGAAGTATTGGTCCAACAGATTCTGCCATATTTTAATAATGTCTGTTAGGTAAAATTTACATATGGCGTGTCGTTTAATAACCACATTAATTTAATTCCTTCATTTTAAACAAGTAAAAATATTCCTCTTTACGAGAACTAGAACTAACAATAAGCACTCGGTTTGACATGCGCTTAAAATCCACCATGTTACATGGTATCAAGCTTACCAATTGTAATCAGACTGTCATAGAACCTTGAATAAAATACTACCAGAAAGGATACGAGAGTGCCCTCAACATGGTCCTAAAGGCATAGATCATAAAGACAGTGACTATGCTTGGCTTACGAACTGCGTGGCAGGAGGAGGGTGCAAAAACATAGGGGGAATCTTAGACTATTGTAATGTCGTTGAGAGAGATCTAGATCGCCGCTATCTAAATAATTCCCATAGCCATGGTAGCGCGCTTTATTCGAATAGTAAATAGCATGAGAATCAGTATTATAGTGACAGCAGTAAAGATATACCTAGCCAACGAAACAGTAAAGTTGGGATTAGACGATCACTTTAGTAGGAAATACAATAGAAAGGAATGTTAGTTGCAAGCAGTGAAGAAGTAGAAACTCTTTATTTGGAATCAGGACTTCCTAGCGGAAGGACAGCGAGGAAAAACGGGCTTGAAGGAAGACAGCTTTACGACCTTTTTCAAGGGCTTCAGAGTCACCAATTAGCATTAAACCTTCATCGGAGAAACTTGTACGGAAATCAGAGAAGCGACGTTCAAACATGTGTCATGCAAGCTATACGTTCCTTGGGCATCGGTGACCCCTTGTATACGAGTCCTTACGCACTGACGGTGAAAAAATCCTAAGGTATCCACAGCATCCTCCCTGATCGTCCCTCATGAGGTTGATACGCGATGAGATTCACCAACACATCCTGGGACCGGAGGTTACATAAAAGAAGCGGATGAAGAGCGCAGTCACCTTTGATTTTGTCAGCTCTAAAAGCAAATTTATTTTTGAGAAAAGGTTAAGAAATACAGTACAAGTTTTTACCTCAAACAGTTCTGCTTAATCAGTTATATAACGTTTCCCATTTTTAATTCCCATAACCGTCTTTGTTATCGTTTAAACACGCTCGGGAATTTAATACCTCAGTATTTTAAGGCCTTTGAATTCTTACCGCGAATGTACCAGGATCTTAACCGGTCGTGTCACCTATAGGTGAATTGCGGAATTTCCGTAAGAACATTGTCATCTTTGTATGGTGCCATAATGCTGCTACCTGTTTCTTAATTGGGAAACTATACTTGAAACTATAACTTAATAACTAACTATACTTACACCGTGGTTCAGAGACAATCTAATAATACAGTGTTGCTAGACACACATAAAAGAAACCCATATTCCAAACCTTGCAAGGGTTCCGTACTATAGTGATATCTCAATTCCTGCATAGCTTTCTTCCTCTTTAACGAAGCGCTTGTATCTCCACTATTTTACTACACATCCACTCCGCAGTGAATCCTGTCTTAGCACTGAATTATCAGCCAATCAAAGTAAAGCAATTTCTACTCCTATTCTCACTAACGGAGCGAGCCACGGCCAGAGAGGTTTGCAGGAGTTGAGGTACATATCACTGATACGTTATCATATGTTATCGTATTTACGGAATGGTCACGGTGTATAAGACACCGTGGTTAGAGTCAGATCAGAACTTCTAACTCTGACCAAGGTCAACTACGGTGGTCAGAACGCCAAAACCAGTCAGAAATCAGAAGTCAGAAGCAATCTGAACATTGGCAGATGCCATAATTTCATACATAATTGTGTATGGTACAAGTTGTAATTTGTAAACAACATTGTTTATTTGGTAACGATGATCATGAGAAAATTGAAATTGTTTATTAAAAATTACGCGGTTATGAATTATTTTTCTTACTTAATATAGCAGTATAGACTAATATTGGCATAGAGATGTAAATTTGACCATTGCCTTAATACAATTAACGACGGAAATATTGGATTTCTTTTGGACGTTGGTATCAAATATTGTTATCATTTCCGAAATATCTTATAAATATGGCAACATTGAAAGGCATTTTTCCTGATACAAGTAAGTTAATAGTATCTGATTATGCTTATTTTACATCTATGAAATCTGTCTATGAAATTAACTTATGACTATTTTAACACTAAACTACCAGACTATCCAGGATGACAGATTTTTAAATTCTTATTTTATAATTAATTACAAAAAAATAAGTTTATTCATTAAGATTCATTAAGATAATATTTTAATAGAACCAGTAAGACGAAAAAATTTTATATATGAAAATGTAAAAAATCTTCGTCATATGGAACAAAATATGCACATGAAAGAATTGGAAGGAACACAGAATTCACGATCACAAGAGCGAAAAAAGCTTAACAATAAGTATCAAAATATTGCATCAAAACTGTGTACAAATCACTATACAAAGCAAGTCGAAGGGCACAATGTAAATTTAAATGAACATGATAAGATAAACAGACATTGCGTAGAAAATCAAGAAAAATTATGTAGGAAATCAAGTATGCCAATTATGAATAAAAATAGTGCTACTGCAAAAAAGATGCCAATTTCAGCCACAAATAACAATTTACATACAAAGCAAAAAAGAAAAGAGTGCAAAAATATACATAAACTTGATGCAAGGTTACATGAAAATATTTCTTCAGATCCTATATTATTACACGAATCTACTAAAGATATTCATAATGATAAAAATACAAAATTGGAAAATAAACTTATGAATCAAGGTACCCAAACATTAGATACGAACCAAATAAATAATTTGTATTCTGAGGGCGTTATAAGGTATTTACATTTATAGTATTAAAGATAATTTTAGTTTTCCATATCTAAAGTTAATGAAATCTTTGCTACAGATATCCATCAAAGAAAGTTATAGAATTGAAGAATGAACAGGGTGATACTGTTTTAAAAGATACAACAAATTCGTCACCCAATCAATCACAAGAAAATTCTGAGTTGCCTCCGTCTAAAGAAGAATTAAATACTAAATTAAATAAGGAGTGTACATTTACGAATAATAAGAGTCGAATACATAATAATAGCAATAGTAACTGTAATAAAAAGAACACTCCTCCATCTAATTATAAGAAGGGTGTTGTTCCTAAGTATGACATAAACAATACTTATATCCTACATTTATCAATATAATCTTAATTATAAACTTTATATTATGCTTTTATGCTTTAAATTAGGTACATCAGAGAGAGGAAGGAAGCTCAGAAAAAAGAAGAGAAAGCTAAAATAGAAGCAATTGATCCTGATTGTCCACATGGACATGTTCCCTTACTGGAGAGTGAACGCAAGGAAACTCTGCATATACTAAAGAAAAGTATGTAATTAGGCCACGATTCATAACTTTCATTTATATAATGACATTAGTGAATGTTATCATTTTGATATATTTTAGGTTATCAAGATTATGTAAATGAATTGAATCTGATGCCTATAAAATCGGATACACTTAGAGCGCAACAGCGAAAGGCGGAAATAGAGAAGCAACTAAATAAATTAGAAGAAGGCATTAAAGTTTTTTCAAAGCCGAAGGTTTATGTAAAAATGGACGCATGAACTATTATTGTTTATCTCTAACAATTCCGTCCTCTTAGAAGCGTCATTGTTTGGTTTATGCAGTAAGAAATCGTCGCAATCATCTTCACTTTTATTTTGTTCAAGATAGAAAAGAATAAAAAAAGATTTCAGTCATTCAGTACAAATTTAATTTATGTCCATGCACTGGCCACTTGTACTTTGTTTAAAATAAAATTCTTTTATTTCTTACAAATGTGTTCCCTGTTTATTTGCCACTATTTACTCTTTAAAACCCATTTTTCAAAGAACATTTCAGAAAAGATCATTTCTTTAATTAATATATTAAAAGTTTGCATTTCTTCATAATTGTTTACTTTATTTTTATCTTTACTAATTGTTGTTAATCTATTCTATCATTAATAGAATTAATGCTATATTGTATTTAGTTGTATTGATTTAAATTTATTGATATAAATGTATATATAAATGTATTGTTGACTTTACTCTATGTGTTAATAAATGATTTATTTTTTTTTTATATTTCAATCGATAACGATAACTTGAAACTTTAAGTAACGAAATCTTTAAAATAGAGATATGTGATTTATCTTATTTTGTTTCACAATTATAGACAACACTTTTGAATTTCGTTTCACTTACGAGATTGTAAAGCTATATTCATGGATCATACTGTACGCATGCGCTCTCGATATTATTGCGTTCTGAAGCTGTTCCTAAGATATACAAATCGACTCTTCGTTCATAGATCGTTTACTTCATTTTGATCATATCTGAAAGGAACAAAACAGGATCGAGTGACGATTTGCAGTTGATATCATTGTTACATTTAATTGTAGTGTGCGAGTATAATATCAACTCTTTCCAATATGTTTTACGTTCCGGAACTTCTTTCTCTCCGACGCAGGGGAAAACTAGCCCGATGCTGGTTAGCCGCTACTCTCAGCGAGCAAATGTTTAAAAAGAAAGTCAAACAGTCGACAGTTCAATGTATTGACATATCTATACTCTGGTAAAGTCTATTTTTGTTCTTTTATCCACTTGCTTCGGAAGTTTGTCAATTACATCTAATTATCTTTTTGAGATAAAATCGACACACAGTAGACTCTTCCATATCGCGGCAATACGTTACGGTTACGCGTTGTTCGAATTCGTGTTATAGGAAACCAAACGAAAGTTTTCCTCACAATACGAAAAATATTGCTAATACGTATGAATCGAATATTTTGTCCCATTTAAATTCAATAAAAGAAATAATTTCATAAATTCATTATGCTATTATAATTAGTTAAACAAAACTAGAAAAACACTATCCGAGACATTAAACTTACGTTTTAACGCGTTGTACAAGAGTCATGATTTGCAATAGAAATTCACATTTTAAATTAATTCTCGCGTTTTACTATTTACAATCCTCGTGAAATAAGAAGTAATCGATTATACAGATGGTTTGTGAAAAAATGTTATAAACAAAAACACATATACCCTATGAATTATATGGTTAAATTATTTAGAAAATAATAGAGCAATAGAAGAGCTCTGTCTCACCTTCTAGGCTCTCATGCTGAAATAATTTAGGTCCATCAATTATTTTGGAGTGGGATGCATAGAGGGCTCTACTTACGTATTGAAGCTCTAAAAAAATTTGTTAGTCAATAATAATCAAATATTACGATACATATAAACTTTCTATCTTCAATAATTAGTAATTTTTTAAAGAACTATGGGCAATAGTTAAAACCATCACGCTGTTACTCGAGAGAGTGTCTTTTTAAGAACACGTATCAATTCAAGGTCAATGTGGCGTGCTACCTTGATGTAAATAAATATTAGTTATTTACAAATTATACAATTGAATATTTATCTCAATATAGTGTGCAATATGGTCTAAGTAAGGATGACCTTTAATTCTAATAGAATAAACGATGCTCATATAGTCTTTATTTTTACAATCTTTTGCCGGCCGAAAATTGTTAAATTTTTTTGTCAGACTCAAAAATCATGATGATCATAAAGCAGGACAGCTTTTATATTATCTACCGATCATATAAACGGTGTCCTATTTAAATTTATCCATGTAATTATGCGAAGAATTACTTCAAATGAAACTTATTCTATTTTGGACAGGATTTCTTATTGTGAATGCAAAATTTGCCTAAATAAAGTTAATGCTGAGATTTCGGAGTGACCTCTGTTCTTTTAAAGGGAATGCGTTTTCGTTTAGTCAGATATGTAGTTAATTTCGGAATGAATTTATTTACGCAAATATGTTGGTTTTTCAAGATTGCTTAAAGCTATTCGTTGCTATTTGAAACTTATCTTTATTAAACGCTTTAGAAATTGTTTCTTATGTCCTTTATTCAAGAGGACCCCCACCATCAAAAAGAATTATTTGAAATGTTTTGTCAAATGCAATTGATAAAAATGCACTGCTTGATATCTTCATGTATACCTAATTGTTATTAATATCGCGGTATATACAAACAGATTAAACAAAAATCGGTTATAATGATTTTTGGAAAAAAATTAAAAACTTACGTGAAGGTTCGATCATTTTATCATAATATGCGAAGAATTAATGTAAAACTGAATAATTATCTAATAACTCTGGGCCAAAATGGACTCGACAGCGGCCATCCGAGAGATAATATTTTAAACTACACTATTTGATCGTTCATATATTGAATTTATAAAATCGTTATCTCTATTCTTTAATTTTTTCTATCATCGACGAATCATGCGTTCAGTTACCATATTACGGTTACTTTCAGCTATACGACATAACATTTACTTTTCCCTTCACATAAGAACGGTATACGAAGATCACGTAAATTGGTACTGAAATAAATTCTATTTAAAAGTCAAATAAATAGAGTAATGAAGATGGACTTCAATAATAATTGTCGACCTTATCACAATTATCTTAAAACTAATAACATTCGTTTATCTCGATGTGCTATGAAAAGATATCATCCTTATAATAAAGACATAACCGCCAGCATTTCTCAGATGAACATAAGCGGGCTATAATTTTCGCGTTTACTTCATATCACACAGTAACAGTAAAGTGGGGAAAGTCAAAATCATATTTAGTATACTGCAATTTCTTACCGTACAGAAAAATAAAACCATCGAATATTATAATAATATTATGATCGAAATGTAATTATCTATTTATTTATTTCTAGCGAAGAAATATTATCAGCGATTCAAACAAGCAATGGCACGGCCTGCGTCAGATTCAGCCTCTATCTTTCCTCGCAATTATTGTACGGTGCCGTGAAATTACTTTTCTATCAAACAAAGATACTTCAAGGTATTTTCATTATAAATTATAAAAACATCAAAATCACATCTTGAATGTTGTAGTTTTTCGTAGATGTTACCATCATATGAACAATTATTTTATACAAATTTCGATGTTTGAATGACACACAACATTTATAATTATTACTTTTCATTACTCATCTATATAAGCAATAAATATGTATTCTTTTTTATTATAGATAATCTATTTGCAATATACTTGAAAAA